TATTTGCAAGCAATTTCATATTCCTACATAGAAAGTACAAAATTTTTGGTATTTTTAAATAAGAATGGCATCTGTTGTCCTAATTATTCAATCAACAATAATTTATTGAACACCTACTGTGGTCCAGGAACTGTGCTAGACCCTTGAGATAAAAATAAAACAGACCCTACCCTCATAAAGTTCACATTCTATAGGGAGAAACAATGTTTATGATTTTTTTTTAAAGCCAGAGCTGATGACTTCACTCACGAAGGGAGCTCAAGGTGACAAACTTTTCCTAATGCAAATAATACATCACATTCTATGTGACATGTAGTCTTAGAAAGTTTCCTTAGAAAGGGGCCGACCAGACCAGAGTCAAATAGCCAGTAAGTATCAAAGGTGGGATTTGAACCTACCTCTTCCAACAGCTATCTTACTGATTTTTTCCAGGCTGTGTGTCTCTCAGACTGCCTCTCATATACAACAAATACACATATAAGAACAAACAAAACAAGTAGATAGCAGTTACATACAAAATAAATACAAATGTATTGGGAAAGGGGGAAGGCACCAGCAGCTGGGGCAAACAGCAATGGCCTTCATGTGGAAGATGACGTTTGAATTGGACTTTGAAGAAAATCAGGGATTCTAAGAGATAGGAGTGAGGTGGGAGTAAATTCCAGATATAGGTATAGCCTGTCCAAATGCACAGAAAGAGTAGATTGTTTGTCCTCTGTGAGAGCATGTGTAGGGAAACAATGTATAACAAGGTTGAAAAAGGAATAAATACTTATTTAGTGCCTAGTACATGCCAGGCACCGTGGTAAGTACTTTACATATATTATAATATTTGAACATCATAGTAACCCTGAGAGGTAGGTACTGTTATCATCTCCATTTACAGTTGAGGAAACTGAGGCAAATATTTTCTCTCCCTCCCACCAACCCCTCCCTTTGAAAAAGAAAGAAAAACACAACTCTGTTAACACATATGCATAGTTAAGCAAAGTGAATGCCCACCATTTTATTTGGTTTTAGAGGTAATAGGAAAGAAATAGAGTTTATTAAGGAGGGATGTGACAGTCAGAAGCATGCTTTAAGAATATCCATCTGGAGGGGGCCGCTAGGTGGCGCAGTGGACAGAGCTCCAGCCCTGAAGTCAGAAGGACCTGAGTTCAAATCCAGCCTCAGACCAAACACTAGACACTTACTAGCTGTGTGACCCTGGGCAAGTCACTTAACCCCAACTGCCTTAAAAAAAAATAAAGAATATCTATTTGGCAGCTATATGGAAGATGGATTAGAGATTAGGAGAGCCTTGATATTTAATAAGAAGGGACCCTATAATGAATTCCCTCTGTACTCCAGCAAGTCAAATTTGGTCTCTAAGTATCTATGGACATGATAATCTATTTTTATTAATTAAGCTCTCAGTTAAGATTACCATAAATAAGATCTTTCTTTAACCCAAAAGAAAATGTGAGAGGAGGACTTCTCCATCAAATATTAAGTTCTTTTTGATATCCCTATAGACAATACAAGCTGTTTTAAATTGGTGTTTTGCACCAATTTGAGGAGTAGTGTTTTAATCTTCTGCAAAGGAGCTGAAATAAGGAAGAGCAAAAAAGCAAGATGGGGAGAATGGGTAATTCTTTGGCTCTACATGCAGCAGATATTTACCATGAAGCTTAATTAATTAGACTAAAATAGTAAGAATCTTCAGAAAATCAGATGTATTCATGTTAAGAGTACTAAAATATTCAAAAGTTTTAAATATTTTTCTTGATCATCTGACATTTTGTATTGAGCTTGTTACTCTTATGCTTAGGAATACTCTGTAATATTCTCTTTCTGATCAGCTAAAAATGCACAATGAACTCAGTTTTCAAGCTACCTGCATAACATACAAACACATTCAATGTCAAGACACAACCAGACATTGCAATCTCATATAACCCTGTATAAAGTTACTGGGAAAGTCCATGTGGACTAAGAAAACCATTAGGGTATTAACATTCAGGGCATTGGGAAAGAGAGGTCCGACAGCATGATTCACTCATATGATTCACTCATCCACTGGTTGTCCATGCTATCCTGATTAGACTTTTTCGAACCATCACACAGGCTCTTTCTGGTTGTGAACAGCTATCACCCCCTATAATACACACCATGAAGTCACTGAAGTATTCCTTAAGAGAAAATTATAAATATAAATTTATCAATACTCACAATGCCTTGTTCAAGAATATATTATTACCATATCCATTGCACGAGAAGTTGAAATGGAAAACAGACTTCTCAGTAGTTATGCTGATATCTTTTCCACACTTACCTGAGAGGACAAGAGGGCAGCTAAGGGATGCAGTGAATAGAGTGTTCGGCCTGGAGTCAGGAAGACCTGAGTTCAAATCTGAACCCAGACACTTACTAGTTGTGTGACTCTGGGCAAGTCACTTAGCCCTGTTTGCCTCAGTTTCCTTATCTATAAAATGAGCTAGAGAAGGAAATGTCAAACTACTCCAATATCTTTGCCAAGAAAACCCCAAATGGGGTCACGAAGAGTCAGGCACAACTGAAACAGGTGCTGCCAGCAATTGCCACCATGACATTTTAGTACCATATTTTGGTAGTAGAAGGTCATATCAGGTACCAGATGGTACGGAAGAGAAGGATGGCAGCCAAGAAATTAATAGGTCTCAGAGAATTTAGATCATTTAGTAGATAGTAGAATATAAAATGGAGTAGATTGAACCTTTATCATTACCACAAGCACTGTTCAGATTTGCATCTGGGACTAAAGTATGCTCCCACATGCCTTCATTTCTATGATCATGGGAGCTATTCAATCTCTAGCTCAAAGCTGGGCGAGTCAGTATTGTCGTTATAGCATAAACACCCAACATCATCTCATTCTCCCCACACCACAAACTACACTGCCCTCTGAGAAAGGAGCTTTTTCTTCTTCAACCTATCAACAAGATGTTATTTAAGATTATAGTTAGCTAATATAGTAACCAATCATTTTAGCTATATTCAAAACACTACAGAGATAGCCATACTTCAAACAACAAAGGGCTTGATATTCTTGTGTTTTGAACCTTGCAAACCTTGGGTTTTAAAAAGAAAAAAAAATCTACACTAAGTGTTTGAGTCTCCATTTCATCTAAATGCTCATTCTGGGGAAAGTCTGCTCTAGGGAAAAACAGTTGAGAATGATGAGTCACTTGTGAATATTACAAGGTAGAAAATGGAGAAACAAAATCTTCACACCTTCATCTCAATGGAAGCAGTGTTGCATGAGTTTGCAATCATGCAAATCATGCCTGATAGATTATTTTCAAATTAAAATTGGAGCCAGTGTCATTGCATGCTATTTTCTGCCTTCATTGTGTTCTGATGTGGAATTCATTTACTGTTTAATAACTCACCATTACACAAAAGCCATGAAATGAAATGAAATATAACAAAAGCTATTGTAAATCTGCCTTTTGAAAAGAAAAAAAAAGCCAAAGAAAAGAACTCCAGTTGTAGAAAAGAATGCTATAATATTCAACAGAAAGAATTTCTGAAATCATTGTGTATCTGTGCAGTACGATGAATGTAAAATTCAGTGTATCTATAATAGGATGACATTTAAGGAGAAAATGTTTATTAAAAATAAATCACCTAATGTAATATATAGTTGTTGTTGGTGTGTGTGTGTGTGTGTGTGTGTGTGTGTGTGTGTGTGTATGTGTTTTAGGGGGAGCAGTGGCTAGAATGTAGGACTTCTACTCAGGAAGATATCTTTGAACCCTGCCTCAAACATTTACTGGCTATGTGACCCTGGGCACTTAACTTCTTTCAGACTCAGTTTCTCATCTCTAAAATGGGGAGAATAAAAGTATCTACCTCCCAGTGTTGTTATAAGGATAAAATGACATGATCTATGTAAAGTGGTTGGCAAACTTTGCAATGCTATATTATTACTTAGTCATCATCAACCTCCTCATTTCCATACTATCTCTATATTTCATCCTTCTGTTATCCTAAGTCTTCAAGATTAATAGTTCTGTTTCATTAATCACTATGTGACAGGACATAAATCTAAAACTCACAGGTATATATCAAGGATGCTGAATCTGTTATGTGGCATTTCTGACACATGGACTGGGGCCTCAGATTCAGTTATGGATACAGAAACAAAGAACATTTCTGTGAACTGAAATAAAGCTTATAATAATATTTCAGTGAAATCTGTTATAATACTGTTGCCATTGCTAAGATTCTTGCCAATATGATACAAAGCCAAGAGGCATCAAAGGGAATGCACTTTTAATGGGACTACAATTAACTACAAACACACTTCTCCTAAATCAGGATTATAGAGCAGGGTTAGCATCAGAAATGAATATTGTGTAAGCTTGTACATGATTTACTCATTTGAGTATAGTTCAACTAGTAAGTCCAAGGCTAAGGGCATGAGTATACTCCCTTTTTATGGCATTTTTTCAAAACTCCCATGGCCACACACTCCATGTCTCTTGCCAGTCAGCTGTCTTGCAAATGTGTACAGGCAGAAGCAGGTCAGAGGATGGGGATGTACTAATGCAAATCCTTCATTGCTCTTCAGAAACCAAATCATGGTAACCTGTTCCTGTCCCACTAACAGTGGGTTTCTAGCATTAATGCTGATTAGACATTTTTTAATATGTTGAGTGTCACGGCCCATCAGGGAAATTGGCCTCATTTCAAAATTCAGTGACTTGGGTTCATTTTGAGTAGCTTTAAATGACTCTCCCAGATTGGATAGAAACTGTCTGGACTCAGACAAACACACTCATGTCCATATAGGCAAATTTTCATGGAAACACAAACTGTACCATCTCCAAAGAGTGTGTGTGTGTGTGTGTGTGTGTGTGTGTGTAGAGATTCCCAGTTAATTCAAACTTTGCCCCATTGTATTTAATTATAGTATCCATTGTCTGTACTTACAAACCATTGTCTGCTTTTAACCACAGGCTTCCAAGGCTACTTACCACAAGAGAATAATAAATCTTGAATCCTGGTTTAGCCACAAAATAGTCATCAGATTTGAAGGTTATCTTTATTTGGTTTGTTCTTGAAGTTATCCTTGGGGGGACTTCCTTTTGTCCACACCACCGTCCTCTTATAACGGTACTGGTTTCAGATACATCTTCAACCTCCACAAAGTCATACCTAGGAGCAAGTGAATGGGCATACATTCTTTTAAAAACATTAAATACGGTTTTGAAATTGCCAACTGTGCTGAGCAATGAAGACAAATAGACTTTAAATATTAGGACTAAACATTTGGAACTAAAAATGTTTAAGAGAACTCTAAATATAATCCAGTTACTGATAGTAAACTCTAAATGGGCACTAGTTCAGGGGTGGGGAAACTGTGGCCTTGAGGCTGCATGTGGCCCTCAAGGCCCTCAAGGGCAGCCCTTTGACTGAATCCCAAATCCTTTGGGATTTGTTCTGTGAAGTTTGGATTCAGTCAAAGGACTACACTTGAGGACCTCGAGAGCCACATGTGGTCTCAAGGCTGCAGTTTCCCCCCCCCGAGACTAGCTATTTGCCTGTGGACCCTAGGCATGTATGTCAAAAAGCTGGTCTGGAAGTGTCCTCTAGGTCTTATCCCCAAACATTGATTTTCAGTCATTTTCTGTATTATATGGTTTTCTTACTACCCTTCTACTTCTCAAAAACAAAAACAAAATCCAAATAGCTGGATACTTCTTTCACCAGTGCAGATTCATCTTAACATGATTACCACAATCTCCATGCTATGTTTGAACATGATCAGTGCTTACCATTAAAATGCAGGGGTACTCACCATTTTAATTTTTAAATATATATTTTTAAATTTTTTTAGTATTTAAGAGAGTAAATGTCTTCTGCCATTTTCCTTTTAACCTTTCTTTCACCTTACCTTTCTTCCTCTCTTGCTCCAATTGGCAAGTGGATACTAGAGGCTTTTTAGACTGTGATCAGAATGAGGAGGAGGGATAAATGGAATCCATTGTAATTCATTTCCATTTTACCTGATTGGCATAAAAGGCCCTTCCAACTTTTGCAAGCCCCAAAGACCAATTAACATGAATAGGATTTGGCCCAGCAATAATGATTTGAGTTTCACCTGCCACATCACTATTTTAATAGTTGCTTAAAGGAGAAGAGTTCATATAAATAGATCTTGAAGAAAGGTATAATGAATGTCATCAAAGAAGTATATGATTGAAAAAAAAAAGGAAGATAGGTGGCCTAAGGGAGAAGTGACATATAACTGATGGACAGCCCATGTTCCACACTAGTATCTTTGAGATAACAGGAGAACCTGAAGAAGGCCACCAGCATAGTGAGAGGACCCTCTGTGGTCAGCTTGTGGGAAGATGGACAAGCATCACATATGATATGCATGTATAGATTGGTCATGATCTGCATCCTTCCAGTGAATACCCACATCAAAGCCACAAATCCCTTGGCTTACTGAGAGGTCATGATCATTACCTGTCTTCTTGTTTCTTCTCCTCAAAAATAATAAAGAAAAAAATTACTGCAAGATAGACAAAAACCTCAAGGTTGGCTCTATTTATTCTCTATGTAAATATGAACTGGCTGCTCTTGTGGGCATTATTCTTTTCATCCTGGCATATATTACCCTCCATGGTCTCAGAAAGTAATAATCACTGCTGTTATTCTCAGAAAAAGAGGTACAAAATCAAAGCTGTCTGTATAATAAACATGCAACAAAGGAGAGTCAAATTTGAGACACCTAGTTTTTATTATTCAAAGGAAAATAAACCTGCTGAAATGGTTTAGTAGTTCAGTAGTTCATTGGTAATGCAGAACAAGTGTGGGCAGTAAAGCACCAAAAAGCCCTTCCCCAAGTCCTATAGATGCTAATTAAAAAAAAATAAGATACTGTGATCGAACAATAAAAGAAAATCAACCATTCTATATCTAAATCTAACATTCTATAATCAACATGCTAAGAAAAAAATAAGGCAAGCAGACATGGCAACAAAAAGCACCCCCCCAACTCCCCAATCCTTACTGCTGACCTAGGGATGAGCATGTGAAAACATATCATTTGAGAAGCACATGAGCTGTTGGGGTTTTCCCAACTTCCTCCTTATACATGTCTGGGACCTTACAATGGCAATTCTGGGGTTGGGGAATGGAGCAGGGACATAAACCATTCACTCCCCTGGGGGAATCCCATTACTTTGCATGATTGCAGTTTAGTTCTTGGGAGTTTAAACTTCATGAAACCATTAAAAAGCAGCCAGTAGGTCAGCAAACATTTATTAAGCGCCTATTAGTACTAGACATTGGTCTAAGTACTGGGAATGCAGAAAAGGGTGGAAAACAGTCTCTGCTCTCAAGGAACTCACTCTGTAATGTGGAAGACAACATGTGAAAAAGACATCTGTAGGACATCAAGTTTGGTATGTTGAAAAATGACTGGAGGTTTTAGGGATGGACAAATAAATCTAAGAATCATCTGCATAGAAATGATAATTAAATCCAAAGGAGATATGAGATCATCATGTGATATAGTACAGAGAGGAAAAATGAAGATGACTCAGGACAGAGTCTTGGGGTAAACAGCTATTTCATGGCTGGTTATAGAATGCTACACCAAAATTAGTTATGAAAGTGAGATCTTTATTTATTTAGAAAGTGAGATCTTCCATGGACAGGTAATGTGGTACAGTGGACAGAGTGCCAGGCCTGAAGTCAAAGAAAGACTCACCTTCTCGAGTTCAAATCTACTCTAAGACACTTACTTCTGACCGAATCCAAATTTTACAGGACAATTTGTAAATCTGTAAACAATCTGTAAAATTTGGATTCAGTCAAAAGGAGACACTTAAGGATCTAGAAGGCCAATAAAAGAATTTTTTCTGCAAAATTTGGATTCAGTCAAAAGGCTGCCCTTAAGGATCCAGAAGGCCACATATGGCCTCAAGGCCACAGGTTCCCCACCTCTGGACTAGATAGTCTCCCACACATAAATCATGATTCTTGGGCTTCCTAATTTCAGAATCAAAAGTGATTGGTACTGCATTTTCCACTCACCTGCATATATCATTTTCTGGTTCCTCCAATCCAAACTGATTATCAAAAGCCAGTTGTATCCTGGTTTTTTCCTGGGAGTGTAGCCTCCATGTGAGTAGCAGATTCCTGGGGTAGCTGTTAGGGAATCGAGGACTCTGTACGATGCCATTTCCCATCACCTGGATTATCTCTTCTTTTCGATACAAGTCTGTGAGGTGATTGCCGGCTGTTAGTAATCACAACTTGTAGAAATTAGTATGATGTTCCAATTATAGGAAAGCAAACAATAACAACAGCAGTTTATACAGAATACATTCACATCTCTTCAAAACACAGGTTCAAGTTCAAGAAGAGGCTAGAGGTTGAAGAAATAAAGTCCACCTCTCACTTCTGCTTCCTAAAGCCAACATTAATTTCCAACCACATTTTAATTTAGACGTCTGGAACATCATTCATAACAGGGGAAGGAACATCAGTTATCTCTCCCCAAGGTCATTGCTGGTAGGTATTGTAAATATTCCGATAATTCCAAATGATTCACCTGCCATATTTTCCATAGTTTAAAAATGGGCAGATATTTGTTTACATTGCCATCTGTGCCATGAGTAGCCAAAGGATTTTAGAGCATTTCATGGTGACTGAAAATTAAGGCTAGATAAAGTTTACCCCCAAAGTCATTAATAATTCACTCACAAAGCAATTAAAAGTTAAAAGAGAACTATTGCCCCTGACAACTCTGAAAGGTCATGTAAGCATTACTAGCCCCAAGTGAAATAATTTCCCCAATATCACGTGACTATTAAATGGCAGAGCCTTCAGGCCTTCTTACACTAAGTCTAGTGCTCTAGCCACTACACTACTCATCCACCATAATATATTGTACTACATTATACCCCTGTTTTCTTTGACTAGTCTTTTTGGCTGCAAAAACAGGCCAAAGAGAGTCTTTCCTGATGACATCGCCCTGCTGTTTTTATTCCATTAGTTTGCCTCTTGTCCTCTCATTCTCCAGATTCTTTCATGCTTTTGACTCAGGTATTTTTGAATTTCCCAGTAAGGTGACCATTCAGGACCAATCCCTGAATACCTATACTGGCAGAGGAGATAATGTGCTGGATTGGAGAGGAGGGGAGGGAAAGAGGAGGAGAGAAGGGAGATGATGAAAACAGAGGAGAAGAGAAAGAAGGGGAGGGAAGAAAAGGAAAGGAGAGGGGAAGAGACTGCTCATTCCATTATACCATTCTTCTTCCTTTTGCCTCATCTATAAAATGATTTGGAAATGTCTAGGGTGCTAGACATTTTCACAACATCATGCAGCTAGGTGGCACAGTGGATAGAGGGTTGAGTCTGGAGTCAAGAAGACTTGAGTTCAAATCTAGCCTCAGACACTTACTAGCTATGTGACCACAGGCAAGTCATTTCTTGCTTCTATTTCCTCATCTGTAAAATGGGTATACCAATAGCACTTTCCTTCCAGGGCTGTTGTGAGGATCAACTGAGAGGACATATTCCTGAATTCAAATCTGGCCTCAAACATTTATTAGCTATAAGATACTGAACAAGTCACAGCCCTGTTTGCTTCAATTACCTATCTGTAAAATGATCTGGAGAAGGATATGGCAAACCACTCCAGTATCTTTGCCAAGAAAACCTCAAATGGGATCATGGAGAGTCAAACATGAGTGAACAACAGCAGGGAGTTTTTAGATTTAACATGTAACGAATTTGTGTGGGTTCAAATCCCAGATCGGATTTTTACTTGTTGTATGACCTTTGGCAAGTCATTTAATTTCTTTAAGCCTCAACTTTGTCATCTGTAAAATGGGGATAATAATAACACATACCTCACTGGGTTGTGATAAGTATTAGATGAGATAATGTATATAAAATACTTTGTAAAGGTGAAACTGCTACAGAAAGATAAAACACAAATAACAATGATGCTTGTGATTGACTCTGATTACAATCTGGACAAAGAGTAGCTCATATGCTAATGACTTAATTATCATGAACTATTAAGCTTAAGTATCTATAGGTGATCCTCTCTGTCAGCATAGGTTGTGAAAGGCAGGTTCCTTTAATCTGTTCTTGAATGTAAAACCAATTTTGTCTCTCCCACACCCCACTCTCTATGTCCCTGAATAAAAAAAAATAAAGTTAGACACTGGGCGTAAATTTAGTTTAAAGCATCTCTTCAACTGTGTAGTTATCTGAAATTTCCCATTCTTGGAAAATTCACTGCTTAATATGTTAGAGTTCATTTATCAATCTGGACTCAGTGGGAGAGAGACAGTGGTGCTCAAGAATCATGATTTTTGAACGAAGTGATGACATACCCCCTACCTCAGGCTAATAGCATTTGTTCTGCAATCCACCCTAACACCTTTCACTATCTTGGCAAAAGGGGCTTTCTCTTGCTCACCATGTTGAGGAGATTTTATGCCAGGGGACCTTTTGCCCTTTTCTTTTCCCTCCCTCACTATTAAAAATAACAGATGGACAGTCGCTGACAGTTGTTCATTTGAGTTTCAAGGGTAAGCATCTACTGGGCAACAGTTTTGATGGATGTTTTTTAGGATAACTTTGCCACAAGCTAATCAGTCACCCAGTTGAGCCATCATAATGTGTGGAATATATAAAAGTGATTATGATGGTGGTGGTGGTGATGCTGATAATAACTGACATTTATATATCATTTCAAGTGTACAGAGTGTTTTGCACACATTATCTCATTTGCACCTCACCTTACTTACAGGGAAATACATTAGGTATTATTATCCTCATTTTATAGATGAGGAAAAAAAGAGATTAAATAACTTACTCAGGGTAATAGGGCTAGTGGCAGAGATGGGATTTGAACTTTGTAGTTCTGATTTCCAAGTTGAGCACCTTATCCAAGTTGAGGCAGCTAGGTGGCACAGTGGATATAGGATTGAGTCTGGAGTCAAGAAGGCTTGAGTTCAAATCTAGCCTCGGGCACTTACTAGCTATGTGACCACAGGCAAGTCATTTCACCTCTGTTTGCTTTTATTTCCTCATCTGTAAAATGGGTATACCAATAGCACTTTCCTTCCAGGGTTGTTGTGAGGATCAACTGAAAGGACATTTGTAAAGCACTTAGTATGGTGCCTGGCACATAGTAGGTGCTATATAAATATTAACTATGATTATGATGATTATCCACACGGCAGACCAGGGCATAAGCAATCTGTATTCCAGCCTGTGTTCTGCCACCAAGGAAACAGCATCATCTTGAACAAGTTACTTAATGTTTCTTGATCATGGATTCATATATTTTGGCCTTCAATGGACTTTAGAAATAATCTAATCCTATCTCCTCATTTTACAAACAAGCAAACTGAGGACAGAGGGGTGTGACTTGCTCAAGTCCTAAAGGAAGTAAATGGCAGACTTGGGTTTGAAGTCAATGGTCTTTGTACTGTGTGTTTTTTTTTTGTTCGTTTGTTTCATTTACAAAATGAGGATTAGATTTGATAATGTCCAGGGTATTGATATACTCATCATTGCTCAAGGTGCTTTGGGAGTTGCAGAAGAACTGCATGGCATGGTCCACGTCCCTAGAGAAAGAGCTTACAATCTAATGAAGGGAAGATATTTGTACAGGTGGTGTGAGAGCAAACATCAAAAAAGGCAGTAGAGAATTAAATGCCAAATTCACACACAGAAGTGCTATAGGAATTAAGGCGAGTTGTAATTAGGTTGATTTGGGGTACCTATGTACACTACACTCACCTCAATTCTGTACACAAAAAGGTTTGCTTGAAGACTGAATAAGATCTAGGCAGATAGCAGGGGGAAGATGACAGACATCCCAGGCAAGAAGAATAATAAGGGGAAAAGCACAGAGATGGAAATGAGGTATTTGTTAGGTATTTATGGAAGAAATATGAGACTGTCCTAACTACAACAGATGGAGAGCCTTCTGGAATAGTGAGTGATAAACTCAAAGTCCTAGATGATCAGATAACTTCTAAAGTCCCTTCTAAGTCTAATCTAAGATCATAATTTTACTAATAAAAAAATTAGGCCCAAAATTAGAGTTGTTAGTGACAAAGTCAGGCTGAGCATTTAAGTCTTCTGATGCTCCCAGTTTATTGGCCTTTTACTACATCACAGTTACTGTCCAGGTGAAATGGGGGAAGGAAGTTTCATGATGGAGGGTTTTTTAAAAGAGACAGGTTAGAGTTTGATGTGGTAGGAGCTAGGGATCTACTTGATTGCTCTTGATCAGGAAAGAGACATAATGAAAGAAATATTTGGGGAAAACTCATTTGACAGTTATATTCAAGATGACTCAGAAGGAAGAGAATTTAGTTATTATATCTAGGGACAATTGTGATGGCCTGAGTTAGGGTAGGAGCAATGTAAATAGGTGACAAATGGCTAGTTATGAAAGATATTTTGATGAATGTTAACAGGCATTGAAGACTGACTACAGGGGGCAGGGATCAATGGTGGAGCCACAGGAGATGTAATAAGAATATGTTTTTTTGATGTAGCTGACTTCATTTTGTATTGGGCCATCATTTGTGATGAAGTGTTTTAATGTTTGTTTTTCATAACTTATTTCTTTATTAACATTGAAGTAAGCATATATAAGGTATAGGATACTAACCATGTACATGTATGTAAACATCTGGTAAACATGAAAACCCCAGATAGGTCAGACCATCAATGGGAAAACTTGTTAACAAACTCATCAGTTGTTCATGCCATCAAGCATCAATCAAATTAATTGGTAAACAAATTATATCATTGGCTACCAATCAGAATTTGGGTGTAACCAGCTAACTCCTGTAACTAGAGCTCTAAGAAACCCACTAGAGACTGCTAGCCTTCAGCTTGACCTTGGGTCACAACTGAGGTAAGTTTCTATGTCCCCCATTCTTGAGGATCAAGCATTCTCTATGTCCACTTAATGGCAATTCTGATTGACTGAAATTTGCCAACTTTCTAGTCAACCACCTTGGAGGGAGACACATGGCTTCTGGCTGGACAGAGAGGTAACCTTGTCACTAAGTACTAGTATGAGACATGTTTACTAGAACCCTACAGGAATTCATGCTGATATTTTTCTCCTAGAGGGGTCAATATCTGTATTGTCTAATAGATAATAAAAACTAAAGTTTCCATGCATTTGTTTAATAAAATATGATTGCTAGCATTCAAAGATATGACACATTAGTGTTTTTATTTTATTAGCAA